CATCTGAAGCAAAGAGCAGACTTCCGGCGGACACTTTTTTGGCCGAGTGGACCATCTTGTTATGTACTATCTTTGTTAAAAAGTAAGTAATTGGGTTTGGAGTCGATTCCCACTATTTCATAACAAAAGATTTTCTTCCAATGACACATTTTGTAATGGGGCAAAGATTCGGTATAAATAAATCTGGATAAGGGATTCTTTAAGATTTCGGAAATAGTAAAGAATGTTCTTCCTGTTAAAGACACATTTGTAATGGGAATAGGGTTCGGTCCACAACTAGGTTTTCTAAAATAGTACACATTGTTCTTTTAAGGACACATTTGTAACGCAGATAAGGTTCGGTCCAAATATATCTGAATTAGTGATTCCAAGGTTCCTCTGAAATAGTAAAGGATGTTCTTCCAAGCGCATGTTTGTATTTACCCTTCCTTCAGCGTTATTTTTTAAATAGATTTGCTAAATAGCCCAAGCAAAGAAACAATTTTCAAGGTACAGTTTAAAAGACAAAGTTTATTCTTTGAACATAGCTGTATAAAGACACCGAGATGAAAGACTTTCTAGTAAAGTTTTGATTACAAACAGAAAAGAAACATTGGAAAGCATTATCCATCGATTAGATCCGCAGCAATCTCATGCAGGAGAGGGTAGGGTCCTTCTTTGCAAAAACTCCCTCCGAAGTCATCAAGAGCAAAGTCCCATATCATGGCACCAGCAAATCCCTGATCTTTGATGAACTGTACCTGTGAAAATTTAAAAAAACAAAAAAAACAACACAAACATATCAGATGTTAGTTTTCTGAAAGTTTACGTTTTCTGTGTGAGTAGAGAGGTGCCAATCGAAACAACAACGATCATTTAGTGAATAAAAAATAAGGGAGATACGCAGAAACAACAAAGGGATATAAACGCAAATGAAGATATTTTTTGGGTACTTGGTCACCAAAGTTGACTCTTCCATACATCTGGAATTATCAACATATAACACGTATATTTAAGATTCAATGGTGAGTCCTCCATACCTTTTCTTTCAGGCTCTCCTTGTCCTCATAGCCGACCCACTGGTTCCCCAGCACTAGGTACGGCACTCTTTCGTCCGGCAGACGTGTCACATTAGCCCCCTCCTGAAGCATCTTGCAAATCTGAGGACGAAGTCGATACGCTATTATAATTCATTGTTGAGGGATAATCGGCCTAAAGCAATTATAATTCACCAGGACTAATATGTAAGGATAATGAGATTTCGACTTCGTAAGACACCACTGTTGACTGTCTTATCCTTTTCTCTTGATACGGATGATTACACTTTTACATCTAGAAATTCGATTTCTTTGGCAGTTATCATTGTCCCTTTTAAAACTGACTAACTGTTTCAGTTTGTTTTGTTATTTTTGTTTTGTTTTATTTTTAAGGGGGGTGGGGGGTGATTGTTTGTTGAACAAATTTTCTCAGCTGCTACTTGTCCCCTAATCATTTGACTTGTTTGATTGATTTACTCGCAGGTCTAACAGAGAGGCAGATCCTGGAATTAGATACCCTTAATTGCAAAAATAATATGCCAAATTTAACTTTTGTGAATCACATTTCGTTAAGATAATACCTCGTAGTAGGCCAGAAATCCGGCCTCCCTGGTGTACTGTCCGGCAGATCCCGGGCCGTTGGTGGGTGCCTTGAGGCCGTTCACTTTCGGATTCGCCAGCGTGAAGCAACGTCCGTACGTAGGGAGGCCGATAGCCATCTTCTCTTTCGGGCAGCCCAGCTCCACCCAGTAGTTTGCCGCGAATTGCTATGAATGCCATAAAAACGGCAGTTAGAACAATAAATGCACCGGCAGATTTAAACCAAAAATATCTTACTAAGATACTACACACACACATACACACA